AAAGCTAGGCATAACAGACATTTAAAAATTCAGCCTAATCTCTAATCACCGAATGGACCCTCTAGATTTGTTCGAAACCTAGTACACACTAAACACATATGCAACTTAACCAAACTTGACGTATCAGACTTAATGGAACAATCAAAATTGGAATCCGAGGTTTTCTTGACCCAAAAGTCGCAATGAACAAACATAACACCAAAAAAGTCCAAAACAAGCTTGAGACCTCTGAAAATTCAACCAAAACCTGCTCTAGGCCTAAAATCATTCCCCTATCCAACAAAACTGTCGGAAATCTAATCTGAGCATCTGAACCCCAAATGTTGACTAAAGTCTACCCAAAGACTAAAATTTCACAAATTTCTAACTTAGGACCTCAAATCCATGAAAAGACTATGAATTTGAAACCGACTACTCTCATGGACTAATTTACATATTCCGAGACAACTGGATGTAACATAAATAAATTTCGGGACAATTGGAATTAATAGAAACCAATTTTGAGACATGAAACTCTAAAAGACCCCGAAAATCACGTTTAAGCAACTTTAGCCTTTTGAATTCAACATGTTTCATAACTCACATCTTTTTACTCATAATTCAAACCGAATTCTAAATTGAATTAGAAATTACCGGGGGTCGATATGAGGAGGGGTAAAATGGTTATTTTAAAAATATTCAAAAACTGACCTTCCGGGTCACTATACTTTGGTTGTCAAACATTAAGAGAATTGTGGAATTGACAGTGAAACCTTTTTAACTTATAAGCTTCTTTATAATAAAGAAGAAAATATAAAAGAGAAGAAGGTTTCAAAAATTTGAAGATATCATAAATTGACATTTGCATTTCTCCTCTTGTCATGTAGTTTTTTGTTTTGAACAAAAAAAGTTCTTTTATTACATAAGAGTAGGTGGAGGAAAAATGAGCGAAATAATTATGAGATGGAGAATTGAACCGTCACCAATAAGATGATCAAAATTTAGGTAGTCAACCAATTGACCTTCTTACTTCTATTATGTAGTAAATAATGATATAGTTATCAGTTTTTCCTATCATGCAACAAATGTAGAATAACAATTATGGAGAAATGTGATGAGTTATTGTAAGTGAGATAAGTTTTTCCTCATTTGGAATTGAAAATTATAACTAATGTAGCGACTTAATAAAAGAAAGAAATGCTACCAAAAGCGTACTTATAAGCGATGTAGTAACTTATTGAATTAATTTTTTAAAAGGAATAATTCATAAGGTATTTTAGTAAAATAATGGATCATACTTGATATTTCGATGTCCAAAGTGAAAATGTGATGTAAAGAAAAATGAAACATTTGAAATAAATAAGCTTAGTAATATATAACAAAATGAGAAAAAAAACACCTCTATACATTTCTAAATTTTAGATGATAACAGAGTACATAGCTCTATGAGAATTGAGGTTTTTCACCCTCTGACCGTTTGAAGGAGCTTTCCGGGACAATTTAAGGTTTGCCAAATTAACCCATCAAAACATGACCCGAGCTTTTGAAACCTGTATGGAGGTCAAATTTCAATTTGAAAACACATAAATTATTTTGCAAAAGGCATAAAAAGTTATGTCGTTCTGTAAAACCTAATTCCTGCAAAACTCATGTTGAGTGAGGCAAAAGATCAATTTCTGAAACAACAAGTTATCCCCTAAAAGATATAATAAGTTATGTTGTACTGCATAACTTAATTCCTACTAAAGCTTATGTTGAGTTAGAAAAATATTTTCTAAACTTATGTCTAGCGAACTATGTCTTAAAATATACTACGCAACTTATGTCTCATAACTTAATTACTACATAACTTATCGCGAGCGAGCTATAAGTTCTCTTAACTTACGCCTCGATATAATAAAATATATTTTGTTCAATTTGATTATATGGTATTATCATGTAAGTGAGGCTCACTAATAACATCCCAAGAATCTTGCATCAAAGAATTGTTAGCTCCATATCCAAGTTGAAGCCACAATCATCATCATTATAAATATTTTGCATCATTGCTCAAAACTTTCAACTTACTTGTGTTCACCTAGATGTATGACTTTTGTTGGATAACATTGTCACACCCCTTTTTGTCAGATCTTTCCAATTTAAATAACGTTATTGTGAAGAGATTATTTTATTTACTGAAATAGAGTCGTCACTTGAAATTGAGTTATGGTGTTCCAAATCATCTTTTTAAATCTCTAATCAAAAGGAAATGACTCTTTGCATTGGTCAATGAAAATAATGGACCAGGTAAGGAATTCGACTGATCCATTAAAAGGTATGAGGCACTCCTGGATCACGTAGTTCTAACAAAATCACTTTTATCAACTTATAATTGGCATAAATTAGTGCTGGACAAACCAAATCATTAATTATTCCTATGGTTTACTTAAATTGATCAATTTTATTAGTCTTAACTAAGATGTGAAGCTGCAACCATGGCTTCGATATACACCGGTTAGAACGCATAACCGTGACCTCGCTTTGTGTATAACATCCTAAATTTGAGCCTATTTGTCTTGGTTAAACTAAAGGTTATTATATCATTTAAAGTGTGTCGGTCAAGACGCATAAATATTACCTTGTCATTTTAATTATATTTCCTTATTTGATACGTGAAGTTGCGACCTCATGCAAGACGATATATTTTATGTGTCCTCTTTAGAACTTAAGACTTATGACACATTTATTCTACTATGTTAGGAAAACTAATTTTTTCCCTTTTCTCTCATTTCTTTTATCGATTGCAATGGGTGTTGAATAAAAAAAATCATCTTACCTTTAATAACGATATTAAGTAATTAAGCCCTTAGATTTCTTTCTTGAGTCAAAATTTCTATTGTTGACGTATGCGTTCAATAAACTCAAAAGCCTAATGCATTATTAACAATGAACAAACTGATTACAATGACCCTATTTGCCATAATAATTAACCAAATGTTATAGTGAACTACTCCCAATTAATCCAAATAAAATAGTTCACTTTAAACCTAAAAGCAAGTAAGCAAAACATGACATATTATTAGAAAAAATAGAAGCATGCCAACCCCGAATATGACTTGTTTTTTTATTACTTTTTAAAGGGCCAAAGTTATAAATAAGCAAGATAAATTAACACCCATTCATATTATAAATATAATAAGAGTCTACAACCTCAGCTAATGGGTTTATCTATTCATACTAGAAATGAAAAAAATACAAGATAAAATATGTTGCAAAAATATTGTGGGTTATTAACTAGCACACAATCACAAGCAAATAATATAGAAATAAAAAATAACACAACGATTTAACGAGGTTAGGCTAGACTAATCCTCAAAGGTAAAGTAGAGAGAGTTTTTCACTATGAAAAATAGAAGAAGTGTACAATCCTTTAGAATCTTCAATGACATCCCTTATTTATAGATCCCAAGTAGTCTCAAACCTATAAGGAAAAGGTTATGCTAATCTTTGAAGGACATTATATTTATTTTCCAAATCTATTAGAACAAAGAGTGTTCTAAACCAATAGGGATTATGATTTTTTATGGAAAAAATGATAACATAATTTACAAAATGTAATAAGAAATAGAATTAAAGATTAAACAAAGAAGAAGATGCAAACTTGTTGAGTCCAAATGACCAAGCAAGTATACGCAATCATACAAATATTATAGAATTTTTAGTCCAGATATCATACCACGAAGACTTGTCAATCAACTATTTATGAAATTAAACTAATTAATGTACAACCCCAAGTGCCAAACTTCAGAAACACAAAATTCAACCAAGATGGCGCACTGCTTGGCACGTTGCACGCCCTATCAAGGGCACTACGTAGTGCGCTGTGTTAGGCCTTTTTGAGTGAAAAATATTTCAAAGCCAAGTCAAAGATGATTACCTAAGATATAGATTATATGAGCAAAAAAAAACATAAGAAATTCAGTATTTTGCAACAGAAGTCTGGACATTTCATGTTTTCAATAGATCAATGTAGACCAAATAATGGTTTAACCTTTGAATGTAAATAAACTAAACTTTAGTCTTAATGTCAATTAATTGGCTTAACTTCCATATCCATCAATACAAACCAAAATATTCTTCAATATTTTGTCAACAAACAACAATACTTATTGTCTTCAAAATCTTTTTACATACAAACACACTGAAGGCCAAAAAAGCCATATCAAATAGCAATATATTATTTCTTGTTGGCATGAGAACCTTCTCCTTCATGGACAACGTGAACTTGTAAGTAAAGGTCTTTGTTGTGTTTTTCTCTCACAAATTCACAAATACACGTATCATTTTTCTCCATAAGGTTCCACCTACATAAACTGTGCCACCCTCCAATTAGCCATATTCTACCGTCCTGCCAAATCTTGAGTTTTGCCTCAAATTCTCTACCAGCATAGTCACGAATGGTCATACTTGAAGGGAGTTCAAGTTGGTAATCTCTCACCACATCATCCGGAACGTACTACAATTAGGAAGAAAGACTTTGTTGAATGAAAATATTATAAGATTGAACTATAAAACAATCAACTAAAATAGTTATAGATTAATAATTACCAGATGATTTCTCCTATCTGGACGTATATTTGTTATAAAGTAAGGATTTTTTGGCTTAGTTGCACGTTCACTTCTAAATATATTTGTAGCAAATTGGTCATTAGGATTATTCACTTTGCCAGCAGTTGCACTTTTGCATTTAGCTGAATCAAAAGAAAGTTAACTGGTCAAGTTCACAAACAGAAATAACATGGATACTCAGAGTTAGTCTATATATTTTATTCTACGAGATCGTCTTTTATTGAACGTGGACTTTCAGAAAGAAATCATACTTTTGACACATATAAAAGTATTAGAAAATGATATTTGACTTGATTATTCATTTTTATTCCAAAAAAATAAAAATAAAAGTTCCCTTAGCAGGCTCGTTTTGTCAGCGAACCAAACAACTAAACCTTTTCAAAAATCATTTAAAACTTGTATCATTAAATATATCATGACACTAATATGAATATAAGATCATGTCTAAATATTCATAGATGTCATTTTTGTAGTAATATACTTACAAGAGAGGAATTGAATTGCATATTAAATGAAACATAAGAGTATCTTTAAAGATCTTTAATTTTTTTCTACCTTTGGAATGTGGTGTCGTTTTTTTAATATGTCAGTCCTTTCTTTATCTTTCGCCTCTTCTTTGTATTCAACATCATCATCATCTTCTTCTTCTTCTTCTTCCTTATCATCATCTTCTTCTGGAACCTCTTCTGTATTTTCACATTCCTCTTTTTCTTCTACCATGGTATTCTCATCCCTAACATCAAAAGTAGAAATGTTCTTGCTATCTCTAGCCCTAGTATTCTCTTTTGTCTCCACACTCTTTTGATGTTCAACATTCATTTCCTCTGCTTCCTCCTCCTTCACAACAAGTTTTAAACCCCCAACTCCTTTCTTTACACAACCAGTTCTTCCAAGTAGTTTGAAGTCAAAAATTCTAGTTCCATCATAGTCAAAAATAAAGAACTCTCCAAGCACTACGATGTTTTCCTTAATGAATTTTTTCCATCCATATTCAAAATAAATAATTTTTTTCTGATTTGGTTACCCCTATAGGCCACATATTTCCAAACCGATCCCTTAGGAAAATGTTTCTAGGTAATATTCCATTCTTGTAATCGGTATAACCTGTGGGAAGTTTCTGTGAAGAAAAAAAAACTTGACTTTTGAAAAAATAAATGTAAAAGAACATTATTTTCACTAAATCACATTCATCATATCATAAAAGCAAACAAGTTTCAGATGAAAAATTATTTCAAATAAACTCAAAGTTTGAAACGTTTGCTGTTAAAATTCAAGAATGTAGCTATTTTAGAAACTATAAAATGAAATGTGAGGCATTTTCATAGTTTTATCATAAAATTACTTCCTTCAACGCTAATAATATTGTTAATTTGAAATAAAATATGCAATCTCTAACCTTGATGGACTAAATTAAACATAATACTTATAAAAAAGTAGGGATTTAACATCTATAGAAAAACGTATAAAATTTATTTGCATCACAAAAAGGCATTTATCCACCTTTTACTTTCCCTCCAATTATTCAAAACACATTTATTCAAAAACTATTAATTGAAAAGTTTTAAGAAAAAGATTCAACAACAATCATAGATCAAATACATGAATATAAGAACACAAAAATAAGCTGAAGGGAAAGAACAATTAAAAAATATAAAATAACACGAGGCAGCCATGTTTTACAGATCTAGATCTCAACAAACCCTTCTCCTCCCCCATATATATTCACTTCTCACATCTCCAAAAAGAAGAAAAAATTCAAGAAAAAAATTACATCAAACACCATAAGAGGGGGGAGTATACTTACCAGCTGCTTTGCATTAGTTTCAGGGATGAAAACCTTGAAGAATCCCTTTTCCATCTTCTTTTTTGTTGTTAAGGTTTAGGAGGATAGCATAATTGCGGCGCAGCCTCTTAACCCTAAAAGAACATATGATTGCAAAAAAATAGAAGTTTATCATAATTCACATTAAGCATGTTATGTGGGTTACGCCAAGTTAGACCGGCCCATTAAAAATTACACTGATCTCCGACCCCGAGCTGAGCTAGATCACCCATAACTGGGTCGGTCCGGGATCAAAAGTGCAAAACTTCTGTTTGGCTCAGTCCACAACCCGTTAGCCCAATTTTTCAGGCCAACTGGGCCAGGTTCTAGTGGACTTAACGGACTGAGTCATTATATAATTATTATTTTTTATCAGTGTTTATTAATTTAAAAGTTTGATTCATCAATAGAGGTGTATTCTTAACTATTTAATTTTGAAATAATTATAACTATTTATAATAATAGAATACTTATATTATATTATATATATACTTATATTGTATACCAAATACGCGCACACATACATATATATATATACACACACTTACAATGTATACTAAATATACACACAATATTTTGTCTATCATTATAGAATATTTACATTATACTATTTATACACACTTATAATGGATACCAAATATACACACAATATACTATCTATAATAATATTAATAATATATACAAGATAAAAAAATTACAACACACAACTTATAAAATACTAAAATAATAGTATTTTGAATTTTTATTTGTCAATATTGTTTTAAGTAATATTTGCTAACATTATTTTTCAAGTATTGACTCATTATAGTGATTTCATATTTCATTTTCAATATATGGTTATGTAAAGTAATTAAAATTATTTAATTGAACTTATACAATTTTTCTTAAAAGAAATAAAGAAATACAAAGATTCAATAAGCCTTTGACTTTATTAATATCGATAATAATAATAATTTCTCCTCCTCCTCCTCCTCTTTATTCTTCCTCTCCTTCTCCTCCTCCTCCTCCTTTTCTCCTTCTCCTTCCCCTTCTTCTTCTTTCTCCCCCTCTTTATTCTTCCTCTCCTTCTCCTTCTCCTTCTCCTTCTCCTTCTCCTTCCTCTTCTCCTTCCTCTTTAGTACATATTCTGCATTTATTTATTTAGTACATATTCTAAATTTATTTATTTTATAATATAAAAATATTAAAAGAAGACAACTTTTCAGATTAAATGATTGTGCTTTTTGCAAAGAGTTGTGACTTTTTCCAAAGAGTTGTGACTTTTCTGAAGGATTGTTACTTTTCCTCAAAATTGTAACTTTTCCAAAGAGTCGTGAATTTTATGAAGGATTGTCACTTTTCCAAAGAATTGTGACTTTTCCGAAGCGTTGTGACTTTTATGATAAGGCATAATAAGCAATTGTTCATACTACTCTTTGTTGACTATAAGTAGAGGGGTTCTCTCACATATTTAGACCAAATTTGTTTTTTAAGTTTTCTATTATTCTTCTTCTTAATATCCAATGTAGTACATATTCTATATTTTCATACTATATTTTTTTAAGCAACTTTATGGACTATTCGTTTGATTTATTGATTATGTCAAAGATGTTGGATAAATAATAATATCAAAAGACTTAGCCCAAATCCTACAAAATTACTTCAGTAAATTTATTCATACTAGTATACGTGCCTGCCCATTGCATAGTTACCTGATAAGTACATTTGTAAATATTGATTTATTGACAATTTTAAATTATTATAAAATGATATTATAAATTTTATTTGAGAGAAGATTAACATTTATCCCATGATAGTTATAATAGAATATTTTTTAAAATAAATCACTATGTAACTTAAGTATATTGTCTAAATTGATGATAATAATTATTAACATATTTAATTTATTTGTTTGTTTGTTCTGAAAATAAACAAAACCCACCTCTAAAAAGTATATGAACGTGCAATAAATTAAATTGAGAAAATACATAAAATCCTCCCTAAACTTGGCAGCAAAACTTACTTTAACACTTTAACTTTACGGGTAATTATTTACCCCCTAATCTCTTTTCAAGTGAATTTAATATCACCCGAAAATTATAATACCAATCTCACAATGGCAAGTGCATTCCACACGCGCTATGTCATTGATATGTCAATGCCCACATCAGCGCCACGTAGAACATTATTTAATTTTTTTTTGTTTCTTTTTATCTATTCTCAATTTTAGAAAGCAAAAGAAATTCAAAAATGAGTTCCATGTTCCTCAACTCAGTCACGATTGCAATTGAACAAATTCGGTCACAATTGAAAGATTGATCCAAAATGTCAAAATCATTCTCACAAAAGACATTCAATTTTTAAGACACATTATTAAGACAATAAATAATGACTGAAAGTTTAATTTGAAATGAAGAAATTATAGACTTTTCATTAAAAATAGCTTCAAGCTCATCACATTCAAACACTACATAAACAATAATTTTGAAGCCAGAACAGTTGTTGGCTTTTTTTTTTCCTATTCATCACACTTTTACGGATCAAAAGGAAATGGAGGTGGGGTGAGGGCATTCCAAAGAAAGAGAAAGAAGATGGAGAGTACAACGAAGAAGAAGAAGACAAGGGTGATGCAATGGTGGTTGAGCGGCAGATCCGAAGAGAAAGAAAGAGGGTGAGGTTTCTAAGAGGAGAAATACGGTCTAAATGGGGGTTTCAAAGAAGGAGAAATCAAAGAGGTGGGGATGGTGGTTGAGGGCGAGAGGGGTGGTGGGGTGTGAGGAATATGAAGGAAAAAAAGATTATTGGTTAAAAAGAAAAAAATGGGGCCCACTTATTATTTTTCTCTTTAATTTTTCCTATTTACACGCAGTACATTTTTTGACTTGCCACATCAGCTGTTTGGGTGCATTTAAATTCACTTGAAAAGAGATATGGGGGTAAATAATTACCCGTAAAGTTAAAGTACTAAACTAAGCTTCGCTGCCAAGTTCAGCGGGGATTTTATGTATTTTCCCAATTAAATTTTTGGAAAGCACAACATAACAACTAAAAATAAATGGAGGAAGTAGTAGCTTTTAATAGAAAAGTTTATCTTTGAGAGGTTAAAAACAAAAACATCACAAAATTTTAGTATATGTATAGTATATAAGGTCTTAGACTGAACAACTTATATAAAGAAAATTAATAAGCAATTATTTAAAAGAATATTTTCAAGCGTTACGGAATTGTAAGACATACTAACTAATAAATGTTATGGGTATTTGAAATGATAGAACTCTAAAATCACAATATAATCCAATAGAGAACTTTAAAAACAATAAATGTAAGAAAAACTTTTAAAAATTTGTTTGCTAGTACCTTCTTATCTTGAATAATCAATCCAATAAAGAATATGATGTGTGAATATATGTGATATGGTACGTTCTATCTTGTCTAACTCCAACATACAATCTCCATTGCTTATTAATGACGAGTTCATTCTATGTAGGCATATTTTGTCGAGTGTAGGAAGAAAAATTTCAATTGAAACACGACAAAATTAATAATTATAATGGACTAATCAAATAATAACAAGTACATATGTCAAAAATCCATATCCATCATAGAAATACAAAACCAAGCAAAAAATTAATTGCTTCAAAATATCAAGGCAAGAAATGCACAAGTTGTCTACAAATATCTCTCTCTCTCTGGGCAAGAAATGCACAAGTTGTCAATAAACCTCTCTCTATATATATAGAACTCTAGAAAAACAAAAATGTTGAACCTTCATTCGAATTTTTTTTCAAGCAAAGCATTTATCAGTGCATGTATACGTAGTACTTTTCTAATATTTAGAATTTATTAACAACAAACTTCATTAAAATATCAAAATTAATGCCACTGATTATAATTTATTATTTATAAAAATGTATATCGAAGATATAAACAACACATTTTCACGGTCTTACTTTTCAACAGACTATTTAAAGAATCACTTTTCAGTTAAACATTCATTTCATCATATATATATATAATATAATTCAAAGATTGTTATTATGAAAATACTTGAATATTGAAATTAATGTTCTTAAATATTAACATTTAATACGTGGATTGAGAAACCTTCTAATAATTGCATGAATTTGATCTCTCTGTTAATAATAATATAACAATACAATTTAGAAAAATAGGCAAATAAAGACAAATCGATACTATACGTCACAAATTAGTACTACAATTTGAAAAGTATACTATAACGATTGGGTTCCGTCGTTATACAAAAGCCAATGGGGAAAAATTTTGGGTCAAAAAACTTTTTCGTAGTATCTTGAAATTTTTCCAACCTAGTCCAGATTTGAACGAAATTGGTGTGTTTGAGGTGTAGGGATATCTGGTAACAATCGGGGAAGTTAATTATGATTTTGAATACATGAGTAGTTAGATAACTCGTTAAAGAACCCGTATAACTTTACGGAATTGAGTTCGGGCGAGTAGAACTCCCAAAATCAATTTTAGTGTAAAGGGTATTTTCTGAGCGACGTGGATTAGAGGTGTGTTGTGAAATGGGGGTCTTGGAATTTTCAAAATAGCTCACTAATTTCGTGCAAGCTGCCCTGGCGGGATTTATGCCTCTCTGGCGGGGACGCTACAACGGGGTGAGGTGGAGTTGTGGTAAAAAGTGACATTGAAAGTCAGAAGTTTTAATGAAGATGACAATGAATTTTTGAAGAAGAAGGAGAAAGAAAAAGAAAAAAATAATAAGGAGAAAAAGTTAAAATAATAAGAAAAACAAGAAATTATATTTTATAGCAAAATATTTGTAAAAATAAATTATATTCATTTTTTTAGTTTGTTCACGCTCTTTAAGAGTGTGCATACGCTCTTTAAGAGAGTGCATACACTCTTCATGACAGGTGGACAAAAAATGGTGTAATAATATCAGTTAAGGATTGTTTAGGGGGCTAATAGAATGCTTGCATAGTTTAAGTCTTTTTAAAAATTTGGGACAACTTCAGGTGTCACTTTATGTCTTTTCTCTATTTCCTTGTAATATATATATATATATATATATAGAG